CTGGGCAGAAGCATAAAACTCGGTGATCCACGGATCTTTTTTTTTTTCAACAGCAGTTTGCTTCTTCCTGGAGGTCGCACTCACAGGGAAGGAGTGGAGGGGGGAGGGGGGAGAGCATGGCCACGTGTGGCCTAGCTGAAGACTTCGACGATATGGACACGGTGCGGGGGTGGGGTGGGGTGGGGGGTGGAGTGCGGTGGGGTGGGGTAGGGTGTGGGGGGGAGGGGAGGGGGGTGGGGAAGGGTGGAGGGGGTGGGGGGTGGGGGGGGTGGGAAGCTGAGGTCAGAGTGGAGAAAGAAACCCCCGGGACCCTGACGCTTGAGGAGCACTAAAATTCAAACCAGTGCACAAAAAGCATATCCTCCATCTTGGGCATTGTTCAATTACTTGAAACATTAGACCTTCATATTTTTAAAAACTTTTTTTTTTTTTTTAACTTTTTAAGTAGGTCTATGTGTGTGTGACGGGGAGCTCTGTCTGTGCATGTGTGAGCACAAGTGCTCACGGATGTCAGATCCCTCCTAGAACTGGCTGTTGTGGGCAGTTGCCAGCCACCCGATGTGCTTGCCCGGAGCAAAACTCCAGGACCTCTGCAAGAGCGATCGGTGTCCTTAACCACGGAGCCATCTTCCCAGTCCTTGAATCCCCATGTTTAATAATTTAAGAAATATTTATTTATGTATTTATTATTGATTAATTAATTAATTAATTAATTTATGTGTTTGATGGTGTGCGTGTGTGCGTGCGCACATTCTGTAGCACTCAAATGTCATCCTCACTTTGCATCTTCTTTCTGAGACAAGTCTCTAGCTCGCCCGCCGCTGTGCTGTGTGTACCCTAGGCTGGCGGGCCTGTGAGCTTCTTGGGCGTTGCCTGACTGTGTCTTTTATTTCGCTGCCGGAATGTTGGGGAAACAGACTAGAACGGGCCGTGCCAGTCCTTTCACCTCCCTTGTGGGAATCTGAACTCCAGTTATCAGGCTTGCGTACGTGGCAAGCGCTTTGACCCACCTCGCTGTCTCCCTGACCTTCTCCACCCATTTTTGTTCTCGTTTTGTTTGTTCGTTTGTTTTGTCTTTGGGTGGAAGATACGAAAAGGTCAGACAACCAGCTTAAATACAGGACAGTTAAAATACAGGACACCATTTAAATTTGGATTGCAAATAATTTTTAAAATAATTTTCAAGTATTGTATAGGGTGTATATATAATTTTTAAGCTAGTTATTAAATACATTAAAAAAAAATAGTTCCTTGGGGCTGGGACGTGACACCGTCAATAAAATCCCTGACGTGCAAGTCTGAGGAACCCAGGTTCTGCCCGCACCAAACACCAGGCGTGTGATCCCAGCACTGGAAAAGAGGAGCTAGAAAGGACACAGGGACCCCTTGGCCAGCACATCTAGCTCAATAAGTGGGTTCTAGATTGCAGTGACAGACCGTTGTTCAAAACACAAGATGGATGGCACCTGAGGAATGACACGATGTAGACCTCCAGCTTCTACATGTACACGCATACACTCTCACCCCCCCCCACATATGAACACACACACACACACAATACACATACACACAACACACACATATTCTTTTCCCATAGGCATGCCCCCAAGTAGTATTTGGGATGTTTCTATAATTGAAAATTATTCTTTGCTTATCTGAAAGTTAATTTTACTGTATTCCATGTGTTTTTATTTACCAAATCTGCCAACCTGGTTCCCTAAGGTCTCACAGCTAAGAATGGTCAACTGGGAGCCACCTCCCTTCATCCCCAGAAAAACTGACTCCATTACACACCTCTCCACTGTGTCCTCGGGCTTGTAGTAATACCTAGTGAGACTGGGAACTTGAGCACAGCGGAGTTTGATTGACATCCTTACTAAAGAGCAGGCTTCTCCTGGTGCCTTGTGTTGAGGGGTACCAGGAATCAGCCATCTCCACAGGTATCCTGTAAAGGAGTTGTATAACACCCTCATTTCAGAGTCCGTGGAACCTGAGGAGAAGAGTCATTTGCTCAAGGTCCAGGTGAGGAGTATAAATACTTTTTTTTCTTTACTATTATCACATACAACGCTGGGATGTAACTCAGTTGGGAGAGCGCTTTAGCCTAGCATGCAGGGAGCCCTGGGTTTTATCCTTAGTACTGAAGAAAGTAGGCATGGTGGCGCATGTCTGTGTTCCCAGCTCGAGGGAGGTGAAGGCAAGAGAATCAGAAATCCAAGGTCAGCCTTGGCTATATATCTAGTTCAAAGCCAAGCTGGGATACCTGAGATTTTTGTCTTAAAGAAAAAGAAAAGTAGGGGGGTGGGAGGTGGGAGGAGGGGAGTGGTGTCTGTGGATAGCATGTGGAGTGAGTAGAAAATTTCTTAATAAAGAAAAAAAAAATTAGCACCGAAAAAAAAAAAAAAGAAAGAAAAAGGAAAAGAAAAGTAGTGGGGGTGGGGAGGAAGGGGAGCAATCAGAGAGTTAGTTCCTGGGGAAATAGCCAAGCAGGTAAATCACATAAAAGCCAGGTAGGGTGGGGTGGCCTACGTGTAATCCCACTGCGTGGGAAGAGGAGACAAACCCCCAGAGAAAGCTGGCCAGCCTGACTAACTGAAAACGGGGAGGGTTGAGTGAAAGTCCCTGCCTCAGCATATAAGATGGAGAAGAATCAAGGATGATGCCTGATGTCTTGTGAAACCTTGGGGCTCCATGGCACATAGACACGATGTGCACACGCATTCCCTCCGCGTGCACCTCCCCACCACACATGAGAGCATTCATGCATGTGCGCGTGCGCACGCGCGCGCGCGCGCGCGCACACAGACACACACACACACACACACACACACACACGTAGTCAGGCACTCAGCCAAAAAAAAAAAATTAGAGAGGATTGCATGATGAGGCTCCACCCAAACCTAATCATTCCCGGTGGAGGCCCCATCTCTAAACACTGTGGTCAGATTAAGTTTCTACTCTCTGGATACCGTTAACCCAACACATTGGGCTTAAAGTTCCTGCGTGAGTCCAGGGAGGGCTGGGGACAGAGCTGGGATTTGGACCTGGGCGTTTAAATTTATCACTTTAGAATGGGATGAAAACAACGTGGGGATCTGGATGCTTAACAAGAGCTGTCTTTACTGAGCACTGGCTGTATTCCAGGCACTAGAAGTAGATATGATTTACAGTTGAGAGTTTCCCTCATCGCTTTTACGTCCATAGTGATCAATCTCAGAAGCGATCCAAGAGAGAATCCCCAAGGAGTTATGGTATTTCTTTGAGAATGCAATGTGCCGAGGTAAATTATGGGCATATTCAAGGCTGAGGCAAAGGGAAAAGATTTATTAGCAGAAAATGGAGGGATTGGGGGCTGAGAGATGGCTCAGCAGTTAAGAGTGTGCTTTCTTTTCTTGCAGGGGATCTTTCCCTGTACCCACAAATAGGAGTATCACAAATGCCTGTAACTCCAGCACCCTCGGTGGGCACTGTGTGCACATGAATACACCACACACATACACATACACACACACACACACACACACACACACACAAATAAATAGTAAATAAAGAGAGAGAGAGAGAGAGAGAGAGAGAGAGAGAGAGAGAGAGAGAGAGAGAGAGAGAAAGGAAGAAAGGGGAGAAATTGATGAATCCTGCTTAGATACAAAGCTTATTGGTTTTGAGACCTGAAGGATCAATTGGCACCAGCTCATTGGTGGAGAAGCCATTGTAGAAAAGTGTCCTGGCAGAGCATGTCAATATGCTGAAGGTAGAATTTGTTACACAAATATGTGCACTCGTGCAAAGTGTGTAGGTCCTGGGTGTGTGTGTAAGAAGGAATTTCTCATGAAGCTTCAGAAAAATCATCTAGAAAATGTTTGTCTCAGCCAGCACCCATGAACTCTTACTTTAAGTTTTTTTTTTTGGTTCACTCTTTGTGTATATGTACATGTGCCTCCTGCTTGTGCAAATGTGTGACACACCCATGTGGTGCCTGTGGCGACCAGAAGAGGGCATCAGATCTCTGGCGCTGGAGTTACTGGCAGTTGTGAGCCCTTCTGTGGGTTGTGGGAACTGAATCCAGTTCTTCTGGATGAGTAGTAATTACATTTAACTGCTAAGCCATCTCTCCAGCCTTGAGTTCTCTCTTTTTGTATAACTTCCTGGCTCTCACGTTGGCTAGGTGGGATGAAAGATTTCGTGTAGGTAGCAGCAAATTTCAGTGTTCCTGCCCTTTTCTGCAGGCTGGGCAGGCTTTGGACTTGGGATCCTCTTCAGCCTCCCGACCAGCTAAGATTAGAGGCGTGAGCCGACCCGCCAGGCTTCTACCTTTCTCTGGCTCTTTCTCTTTTTCACCTTTATTTGCTCATTTGTTTGGTGTGTGTGTGTGTGTGTGTGTGTGTGTGTGTGTGTGTGTGTGTGTCAACAGGCCGGAGTACACCTTGCAGGAGTCAGTTCTCTTCCATCATGTGGGCTCACCAGTATCAAGTTTATGTCCTCAGGCTTGATGGCAGGAATTTTTACCAGCTGAACCATCGCCTCATCCATCCACTTCCACCTTCTCTTCAAAAGGACCCTCCTAGGGCCATCAGGATGTCGTGGTGGGTAGGGCATTTACTACCCAGCCTGGCGACCCTAGGACCTTCACATGGTGGGAAGAAAATACTGACGCCACACAAGTGCTCTGGCACTCCTCAAAAAAAAAAAAAAAAAAAAAAAAAAAAAAAAAAAAAACGTTAAAAAATACTTTAAAAAGAAGTAGGACCCCTGGCTCTACCCTTGCCAAGCATGGCATACACCAGGCACTCGCCACTGATCATCTCGTTGACCTTTTAGGGGAGAGGCCTTGTTGACATTGCTTTCCCATTAGGGACATGGAGCCTGAAGACATTCCGTCCCCCACCTGAGGCCGCCGAGCTCCAGAGTTAAGGATTTAAACCCAGACCGTCCGGCTTCCCTAACCCTCACCTAGTAGTCCTACCTGTATTTCATACCATGCGGCACTTCATTCTCTCGTCATGAAGAGGAAGAAGGACACAGAGGTGAAGAGTAAAACCTCAGTTACTAAAGGTAAGAGTCCAGTGAACGCTTTCAGAAAATGAAGGTTCGTATAGGATGGACCTTCTAGGCCTGACCACTGATGGCGAGAGTTTAGACACGAGACCCTCCCTTGCCCCCAAGCATCTGCTCTCAGAATTCTCTCCGGGTAGTATGTCGGTTATTTGTCTATTGCTGTGATAACACACCATGGCCAAGGCAACTAAGAGATTTAGGTGAATGAGTGTTCCCTGGGTAATTCTTCAACGTTATCTCTGTGTTGGTAGAACACTTTCAGAGTCAAATGTTGGGATTGAGCAGTACAAACTTCCTTAAAATTTTGAATTACAGTTTTTTTGTTTATCCACCCCCACCCCACCATGTGGATGTATGATGGTAGTCAGAGGCTGACTTTCTGAATGAGTTCAGTCTTTTTACCATGGGGGTCCCAGGGATCAAACTCGGGTCCTCGGGCTGAGAAGCAGAAGCCTTTTACCCACTAAGCCATCTTGTTGGCCCGGCACAATGATGTCTAATGTACAGAAGACTTTACAACTAAAAGTAATATTACTTCTCCTTCCTCAGCAACCTAGATCCTCCTCTGGAGGGAGTGCTTTCTGGCTTCTTAGGCTGTCCAGAAAGTGCTATACTCATAACCAACTCTTTGTGTATCCATTACAGGTGTGAACTATCCGTTTGTGTATCCCATTGCATGTGTGAACTATCCATTTGTATATCCATTCCATGTGTGAACTCTCCATTTGTGTATCCATTCCATGTGTATCCACATGTGTGGAAAAGTATGCATAGATGCTTTTAGTATCTATAGTATCTATAGTATCTATGCATAGTTTTTCACACATGTGGTAGCCTACTACGGGTACCACGCAGGGGTTTGGTTCACTTTTGCTAGAATTGCTCTGAAGACTCACATACCTGCCCGGAATGTAGGGCAGTGCACAGTACACATCAGCGTTTGTCATTTGCATCCCCATTGAGGGTTTATTGTGAATGGGTTTTCCTACTCTTAGAAACCAGAGTGGCCTCATGAATCCTTCCTCCTCCACCAGCCACACCTTCACCGAATCCTGATCAGACACCAAACCAGCCCTCTGAAAAGAAGCGAAAAATTCCAACCACCTTGCTGCCATCCTGGTACAAGGTAAGCCGTGGGTTTCTCCCTTTGACCAGAAGTTAGCTTGGTCTGGAAAAGGCAAGGACATTCCCACCTTTCTGCTCAGCTCAGGGGTCTGCCCTGGTTGTACATGCATCGTACCTTCAAAGGACCACCTCATGGAGGAAGATTTTTCTAAGAAGTGCTCCCCTCTTTCCTAATTTCTGCTCCTGATAGGATGACACCAGCGTCATCATTTTCTTCCTTCTCTTTCCTTAAGATTTATTTTATTTTTAATCATGTGTATGTGTGTATATATGTGCATATGAGTGCAGTGCCCTGGAAGCCAGAAGAAGGCATCAGACTCCCTAGAGCTTGAGTTACAGGTGGTTGTGAGCTGCTAGACATGAGTGTTGGGAACTGAACTCTGGTCCTCAGCAAGAGCAGTTGAGCACTCCTAACCACCTAGTTATCTCTCCAGCCCTTGCTTCATTTTCTCTATAGCAGGTATCGCCACCTGGCAATACATTCTATTTTTAACTTGTTCATCACCCGTCTGCTCTTTCCCCTCTGTGAGAGCAGGGGCCTTGTCTTCTGTTGACTGGCTGACATATTCCCCTATGCCCAGGAACAGATGTGATGAATGGTGGAGACAGAAAGGTCTTGATGGTGGTCGGGGTGGGGGATACACTTTCAAGGGCAACGCCAATGCAGATTGTCCTTTGGGGGTCAGAAGTTTATTAATTCTGTGGATAGACAGATAGCAGCATGGCAGGTCCCCTGAGAAGAGTTCAGACCCAAGAGTAAGGAAGGGGAGGCCCCTTCTTATAGGTCTCAGAGGAAAAAGGAAGTTTCACAGCTGGAGCCCGCATCCAGGTAGCAGGGGGGAGAGGAGGGAATTCTGCAACAGGAACGTGGGGCTACTAGAATGTCAGGGAAGAGGGGCACATCTCCTTGATTTGTGCGCATTATACTCGTGCCTCTCTGATGTCTCTTAGTCTGGCAGCCTGAGGTCTGTGAACTTCCTTGGGGAAGTAGGAATGATGCCCACCATTCTCCTGGAATCTGGGTAGCTTGGGAGTTGGTTAGAGGCTGGCAGACAGGCTCTCCCTCAGGAGGGGGCTTGCTCTTTCCTTTCCAGAAGAAAGAGGCCTCTGCAAGCGGACCTGGCCTGAGCAGCCCTCTGGTCTGGATTTCTAACAAACACTTTATGTGTCTGGGCTGAATGGGTGATGGACAGTGCATGAGCGTATGAATGAAGCAGGAATTAGCGAATGGTTCTTCTGAGGCAGTCAGCCTTGGCGTAGCCCACCTGGAGTCCACATCTCCTCCTTATGCTGGCGCTTCTGATTTTTCTTGGGGGATGCCTTGTCTTCCAACCACTTCGGATGAAGCTGATATTTTCCTTAAATTCTTTTAAGTTAATGACTTTCATTACATTGTCCAAGCATTTAACATCATTTTCTCTGACAGTTTCACACTTGTAGACTCTGTCATGACTCTATCCATACACACCCACCCACTGTCATCTCTTGACCCCCTCTCCCACCCCTACTATGTCCCAGCTAGCACCGCCCTGCTATTTTCATATCTTTTTTTTTTCTGCCCAGGCGTGGAATTACGGTTGGTAGCATTAGCACGGGTGTGGGCTTATCTACTGGAGTGTGGGAAACTTATCAGGGGTTAGACCACTGAAGAAAATGACACTCCCCTGGCAAACATTGACCCCGCCCCCTGTAATTATGGGATGTTGATGGGCCTACTCTTGTGCAGGTATCCACAGCTGCTGTGTGTTCATGAGTACAACGGCCATGCCATAACCAGAAGACAGCATTTCCCAGCATTCCTCTTCATCTTCCAGTTCTTACCTTCTTTCCACCTCTTCTTCTACAGTGTTCCCGGGGCCTTGGATGGGGTGATGTAGGGAGAGGTTGATCTGAACCTCACCCCACTTCCAGGCTTGCTCGGGCGATAGTGATTGCTTCACGGCTGGGCGTGTGACTCCGTCCTGACCAGTGAGAACTGGTCTGGAGACTTGCTTTGACCTCAGGGTTGCTTAAACTCCTGGGACAGAATCCTGGAGGGGCACTGTGGCAAATGAGAGTTCCAGAGGAGAGATGGGGAGAGATGGGCAGCCATCAGCAAGTCTGAAGTACCTGGAGGCTCACATGGGCTTCTGCTCAGCAACTGGAGGACTGGACCGTCTTTCCTATTAGCAGCAACAACACACGCACACATATACATACACAATGCATATACAGAGATACACACACATGTACACACATACATATATACATACATACATATACACACCCACATATATATACACACCATACATATACACATACACACTGCATACATATACATACACAGAGACATACCCACTATACACATACATATACACATACACCACATACACAGAGACATACCCACTATACACATACATATACACATATACCACATACACAGAGACATACCCACTGTACACGTACATATACACATATACCACATACACAGAGACATACCCACTGTACACAAACATATACACATACACCACATACACAGAGATTACATACACATACACATACACAGAGACATACACATACACCACATACACAGAGACATACCCACTGTACACATACATATACACATACACCACATACACAGAGATTACATACATATACACATACACAGAGATAACATACATATACACATATACATATACATACACGCTGTACACATACACATATACACTATACACATACCCAAATACACCTATACCCACATACTACACATACATACACGAATATACATACTACACATACACGCATACATACACATATACATATACAGACTACACTCATACATATACATACACATTGGACACATACATCAACACATACACATACATAACCACTGTGTATACATACACATATACTACACACGTAGACATACCTACATATATATACACCACATATACATATCCACTGTACATGTACACCACACAGACATACTACACAGATACATATATGCACACATACACCACACAGACATACTACACAGACACGCACACATACACCACACACACGTCCACAGAAATCATAATGTAAAGGTCACGAGGAGGGTGTAAGGACGGCACAAAGGTCACCCAATGTCTGGAACTTGCTGACATTTCTCCTATTGCCCTGCCATCTGCATACTTGCCTTCAAAGCCATTGAGCATAGAGTACACGCGATGTAGCACTCACCTCTAAATATCTCCATCCGTGTTTCCTAAGAATGACAATTGTTTTCGGTACTGGAGATTGACCAGTGCTGCCAGTGACTCTTCCCATCTCACAGATGTGGAAACAGAGGCACGGGAAGCCACTCACCCAAGGACCCCCAGCTCTCTTATGGTCCTGTCCCTGACTCCACACGCCCCACGCCTGTAGCCTTAGAATGCTCACTCTAACACAGCGTTAACCTCTCTCTCCTTCTGTGTTCTTTCCTCTTGAAGCTCTTTCCCTTCGGTCTTCACCTTCTGAGTGACCTCCGCTCTGCTCCGCTCTGCTTCACTCTGCCTCCTGCCTCCTGGAGCTTCACCTGTCAACTGCTCTTTCAAGCATGTGGAGAGGACTCCTGGGCATGTTCTTCTAGCACCCACCATGCCACACTGGGATGCCCCGAGGCCGTGTCCAGGCCCCTTCTCCCTGCCCTGCCCTGTGTGCTCTAGAAGGACACACATTTAGCTGTGGCCATGTGAGGTGTTCGAATAGACCGGTGCTGCTGTCCTTATGGGATAGTCTGTGTGTGAGCACTTGGGGCTGGCCAAACCAGGGGCCTTTGGTCCTCTTCTTCTTCCTTAGGAAGTTGAGGAGGGTTCACCCCAGTTCACCCTACAATCTGAACCAAAAAAATTGGGGTGTAGGAAAGGAAGTTCCTTTTCTTTGGTCCTTCTAAGAGCAAATATGGGGCCAGTGAGATGGCTCAGCGGGGAAGGGTGCTTACAGTACCCAGTCTTTCTCAACGAGCCATCTCTCTAGCCCCCGATTATTAAACATTTTAAAAGCTTCTGCTTATGTCACAGGTTTCCAATATCCCATTTGACAAACCTGGGTTCAGAATGGGAAGGCTGTGCCTGGTCACACACCCCTAGTTTCATTTCTATTGCTGTGATAAAAAATACCATGACAAAAAGCAGATGAAGGGGAGGGTTTATTTGGCCTGTAGTTCCAGGTCTCCATCCATTGTGGGGAAGTCAAGGCAGGGACAAGCATCCTGTCCACAGTCAAGAGCAGAGAAAGGACTGCACCTATGCTGCCTGCTTGCTTAGCACCCAGATGGATTTCTCTGCTCTTACACTGTCCAGAGCCAAGACTATAAAATGGTGCATCCGCATTCAGGGTGGGTCCTTCCCACCTTAATGAACTCAATGAAGACAACCCTGCCCCCCCCAGACCAACTTGATCTAAACAGTTCCTTGCTGACACTCTCTTCCCGGGTGATTCTATGTTGTGTCAAGTTAATAACTGAAACCAGTGAGCACGTTGAGGGCCAAAGAGATGGTCAGCAGTTAAGACCATTTGCTGCCCTTGCAGAGGATCTGAGTTTGGTTCCCAGCACCTACATGAGACAGCTCACAATGACCTGTGACTCCAGTTCTGGAGGATTGGACATCCTCTTCTGGCCTTCACAGGCACCTGCACACATGTGACATAAACCATGTAGACACACACACACACACACACACACACACACACACACACATACACATTAACATTAACACACACACATAGACACACACACACACACACACACACACACACACACACACACACACACACACACGGTATGGACTTAGTGCGAAGTGAGGAGGTACCAGGCCCATCTTCGCAGTCTGCAACGGTGTAGAATTTTGAATACAGCTCAAACGCCCACCTCTTTGCATCTCCTCTCCTGGGCCAAGGGAAAGACGAGGCCTCGTATGAGCGGTAGTGGGACTTTGGTGTTATAGGAACCAGTGATCTTCAAAGATGTAGCTGTGTACTTCAGCCAGAAAGAGTGGCAGCTACTGGAGCCTGCTCAGAAGGACCTGTACAGGGATGTGATGCTGGAGAACTACGAGAACCTGATCTCTGTGGGTAAGGATCATCTTGCGGTTTGTTCTGGGTTCAGGAGAGCCTGTGGGTCTCAATTCTGAGAGGCTGTGGTTCATACGGGTGAACTCCGCCGCCGTCGGACTAAATTCAGATATTGCAAATTGGATGCTGTTGGCACCATCTGAAGACTGGTGCTTTTCAACAATCCTCCACTTCAGAGGTTCAGTTTTTAACTCATCTGCAGAGAGAGAGGAAAAAAACAGGTGGAATGTGTTGGGAGTAAATGCCCCTCCTCTCACCCCCGACTCTTCACCGTCTTAAGATGACTGGTCTGACTTAAGTCACAGGAGCACAGCTAAGCCAATCCTGATGGCCAGTGGGTCCAAGCATGGGCTGATTGGCTAATATGGTAGTGCGCTCAGTTTCCTGGATTAACAGAAATTTGAGCTGCTGTGATGGGTAGGTGGGGCAGGACACATCTAAGGAGGCAATTGCCTCCATGTTCCCACTGGCTGTTCTTTGTTTAAAATCTCCTAGCTCTCCCCTTTCTGTGCAAACATTTGTCTAGAAAGGAATTCCTGAGAGGCATGCAACAGTTTTTTTGTTTTGTTTTGTTTTGTTTTGTTTCGTTTTGTTTTCTTCTCCTGTGGAACAGAGTATTACATTTTCAAACCACGGTTGATCACCAGGTTGGAGCATGGTGTTGACCTTTTTGCTGAAGAGAACAATGTTCCCAGAGAACGCCAGCAACGTGAGGCAGGAGTCAGCAGAAGCAACACCTCTGCAGGTGAGTCAGGGACATTCTATCATCTCGGAGAGACAGCATTCCTCTCCTCTGTTGTGCTGGGGAGTTGACAGGGCGACTGCAGAACTTGATTCATTCGAGGCAAACTGAGCCTGTCTCCCAACACCAAAGATGTTGGCAATCTCCAGTTTGGTACCACACTCCTTCCTTCTTGTCCTCAGGGGTTGCAGGTGACAGTGACAGCCTGACTCCAGACATTTCTGCTGGATCTCTTTTCCTCAAATGATGATGATTCTGCACTGCTTTTTCAGTTAATGCTCCCACCAGAATATTTTACTTTTTATTTTCAAGTGTGTGTGAGTGTGTGTGCATGTGGGTGTATGTGTGAGTGAGTATATGGGAGTGTATGAGAGTGAGTGTATGTAAGTGTGTGAGTGTGTGTGTGTGAGAATGTGAGTGTATGTGAGTGTGTGAGAATGTGAGTGTATGTGAGTGTGTGAGTGTATGTGTGTGAGAATGTGAGTGTATGTGAGTGTGTGAGAATGTGAGTGTATGTGAGTGTATGAGAGTTATGTGAGTGTGTGAGAGTGTATGTGTGAATGTGTGAGTGTGAGAGAGTGAGTGTGTGAGAATGTATATGTGAGTGAGAGTGTGTGAGAGAGTATATGTGTGTGAGTGTGTGAGAGTGTATGTGTGAATGTGTGAGCGTGAGAGAGTGTATGTGAGTGTGTGAGAGAATGTATATATTAGTGAGAGCATGTGAGAGTATATGTGTGTGAGTGTGTGTGAGTGTATGTGAGAGCGAGTGTATGTGAGTGTGTGAGAGAGTTATGTGAGTGTGTGAGAGTGTATGTGTGAGTGTGAGAAAGTGTATGTGAGTGTGTGAGAGATATATGTGAGTGAGAGTGTGTGAGAGAGTACATGTGTGTGAGTGTGTGTGAGCGAGAGTGTATTTATGTGAGAGTGTATGTGAGAATGAGTATGTGAGAGTGTGTGTGTGTGTGTGTGTGTGTGTGTGTGTGTGTGTGTGTAAGAGAGAGAGAGTGTGTGTGTTTCGTCCTCATGAGGGCGTGGGCACACTTGGAGGCCTGAACAAGATATCAGGTGCCTCCCTCTATCTCTCTCCATTTTATTTTCTTAAGACAGGGTCTCTCACTGGACCAGAAGCTCACTTTTCTGGCTGGGCTGGCCAGCTAGTGAGTTCTCAGCATCCTCCTGTCTATGGCCTAGGAGAGGAGTTGCAAAGAGGTGGGAACTTGGGCTGTATTTAGAATTCCATACCATAGACTGTGAAGATGGCCCTGGTACCTCCTCACTTTGCACTAGGTCCATACCATTTGTGTGTATGGGAGGCTGTGTGTATGCTTTAATGTGAATGTGTGTGTGTGTCTCTATGTGGTTTATGTCACATGTGTGCAGGTGCACGTAGCTATGCTTGGCTTTTTATGTGGGTGCTGGGGATTTGAACTCAGTTCCTCATGTTTGCAGATGAAGTGCTTTACCCACTGGGCCATATCCCCAGCCCCTAATTTTCCTCTTTGGGTCTATAGTTCAGTGTCTTTACTGTTTAAAAGATGTTGACAGCATTTTTTTTTCCTTTGAGATTGGTTTCTACCTGACCTTAGTCTTTTAAAATGTCATTGCTAATTCACAACCCTCTGTTGACTTACAAAAATAACAGTGCACTTCTGAATCACGTAGTCATTACCCACCACATTCTGAGCTTCAAAAATACACATAGATGGTTTTCATGAAGACAGTATCTTAACATACACAACTGGGGTGAGGGTGAGACACTATCTTGCTATACAGCCTAGCCTGGACTTGTTCTTAGAATCCCCCTGCCTCAGCTCGTAAGTGCTGGCATTATAGATACACTGTGTCACACGCAGCTATTATATGCAGTTAAGAAGAATTCCAAGTGACAGTAAGTAGTGTTCATTGGAAAGAACGGTCTTGGGATGGTGAGATGGCTCGGTGGGGAGGGTAAAGATGCTTGCCTCCAAGGCTGATGGCCTGAGTGCAATGCCCGAGCTCCACGGTGTGAAAGAAAAAAACTATCAACAAGTTGTCCTTGGACTCCACAGGCATGTGGTGGCATCCACACACCCACATCCACACTCAAATGGTAAATGTCATCTAAAAGACAACAATCCTGGTGCACACCTTTAATCCCAGCACCCGGGAGGCAAAGCAGGCAGATGACCTCTATGAGTTGGGAGCCAGCTGGGACTACATTGTGAGTTTGAGGATAGCCAGGGCTACATAGTGAGATCCTGTCTTAAAACGAAACGAACCGCCAATACTCTTCTTAATCTAGCTTCTTTTCCCTTATCCTGGTCTTTTCATTTGTTTTCTAAATTTACATACGCAGGTACAGGCTTCAGGATGACATTTTCTCACATATGTCCTACCCTATCCCCCTTTCCCCACGTTCCCCCCAGTAGCTCCCTTTCTGCATTTACAGTCATGTTTTCTATCACCCTCCTTTTCTCTCTCCCATCCTCTTCCGTAGAGTTTTTTTCCTCTCTTGTGGTCCCCTTTCTAGTTTCATGACCTACACTCACCCACTCCTAAATATGTGTACACACGTACAGGAAGACTGAAATATAGGCTCTCCATATGGAAGAAAATCTGCAAGTTTTGTCTTCTTGAGCCTGTCTTATTTCTCTTAACATAATAGTTTCCAGTCTTTTGAAATTCATTACCCAATCTGCTTGATACTAAACAGGGCATATTGTAGCTGCCCTTAAGTTGTCCAAGAGCAGACCAAGCTAATTCGCAGTGTTCGAAGCCAGGGTTGGGGTGATGAGACGGCTCAGCAGGTAAGAGCACTTGCCACAAAGCCTGACGAACCTGTGTTGGATAGATCCTAGAGCCCCTATAGGGAAAGGAAAGAACCAGTTACTGCAAGGTGGCCTCTGACTTCCACATGCAAACTGTGCCACACCCCGTGCCTCCACCGTCACATAAATCCCAAGAATGTGAAGACAAAGACTAGAAAGAAAATGAGAAAGGGTGGGTGGGGTGGAAGCTTACCTGCTTCTGGTCGTGATCTTGGTGCTGCAGGCATGAACATACCCAGTATGTAACACCAAACAAACAAATATTTTATATTTCATACTTTCATACGTATGTTATATTCTAATTATTAGTAAACGTTTTTCATGAAAACAAAACCAGTCCTGGAGCAGATGTTTCTGTTCTAAATCTCCGTCATGGAGCTGGAGAGATGGCTCAGTGGTACTGTTCTTGCAAGGACCAGGATTCAGTCCCCAGCACCTGTGTCAAGCAGCTCACAACTGCCTGTAACTCTAGGTCCAGGGCATTTGATGCCCTCTTGTGGCCTACACAGGCACCTGCACTCCCGTGTATATACTCACATATAGGCGCGCGCGCACGTGCACACACGCACACACACACACACACACACGCACACACACACTTCTCTCTCTCTCTCTCTCTCTCTCTTTGTTTTCATTTAAACTTTTAAATCTCCTTCAGGAAGGAAGACAGTAAATAACTCAAAGACAGAAATCCCAAAGCCGGACACTTCTAAGACAACGTCACAGGAGAAGCTGAAGAAAGATCGAGGGGGTGGTTCCAAGAGTTTGAGGGCAGAAAAGCCTTCCAAACGTGATGACAGGCCATCTCAAAACAAGGAGAAGCCACTTCAGAACAAGGAGAAGCCATCTCAGAGTAAGGAGAAGCCATCTCAGAGTAAGGAGAAGCCATCTCAGAACAAGGAGAAGCCATCTCAGAACCGGGAGAAGCCATCTCAGAGCCGGGAGAAGCCATCTCAGAACCGGGAGAAGCCATCTCAGAACCGGGAGAAGCCATCTCAGAACCGGGAGAAGCCATCTCAGAACCGGGAGAAGCCATCTCAGAGCAAGGAGAAGCCATCTCAGAACAAGGAGAAATGTGGTTCATCTTTGACAAGAGAAGCAGGCAAAACGGTCACTCCTGGGAATAAAGAGCGAGAATCTGTGACCCCTGGAACATCTTCGAGTCAAACAGCAGCAACTACAACACCAAGGAGCACCCCTCAAGAAAAGTCAACTTTGGGGAAAGCCTCTCATGGAAAAACACAGAATGCCAGCAACTTCACACAGCCCAAGCTTAAGCCTGCCCGACAAGGTAAGAACCACTTTAAATGTAAGGAATGTGGGAAAACCTTCAACCAGACCCTCCACCTTGTGGAGCACGAGAGAATTCACACAGGAGAGAAACCCCACAAGTGTGACACCTGCGGTAAGTCGTTCAGGCACCTCTCGTACTTCCTGACACACTATCGAATTCACACGGGGGTGAGACCTTATAAGTGTAAGGAGTGTGGCAAAGCCTTCAACAGCAGCTCCACTCTCAACAATCACCGCAGGATCCACTCGGGAGAGAAACCCTTCAAATGTGACGAGTGTGGGAAAACCTTCAAGCAGAGCACAAAGCTCACTCGTCACCAACGGATCCACACGGGGGAGAAACCCTACAAGTGTGGCGAGTGTGACAAGTGCTTTGGCCGCAGCTCATCCCTGAGGGAGCACAAGAGGATCCACACAGGAGAGAAGCCATACCGCTGTCAGGTGTGTGGGAAAAGCTTCCGGGTCAACTCGCACCTTTCGGAGCATCAGCGGCTCCATCTGAAGGTGAAGCCCTACAGGTGTGATAAGTGTGGCAGGCACTTCCGAAACAGCACTTACTTATCAGAACATAAGCAGTCCCATGTGCCCGGGGCCCGAGTGGACTGCCTAGAATGTGGGAAGGTCTTCGCTTGCAAGGTAGCCCTTCTCAAGCACCAGAAAAGACATGACGCGGACTCCAGATATCGGTGCAAGGGATGTGGAAAGACTTTTAGGTGTAAGTCAAGCATCCAACGGCATGAGAGGCTTCATGCTGGGGAGAAGCCTTTTGTGTGCACCAAGTGTGACAAAGGTTTCACTGATAAAACCACATTGAATAATCACTTGAAAATCCACTCTGGAGATAGGCCAGATCCATGTGCCCAGTGTGGGAGAACCTTTAAAAAACTGGCTACCCTGCTGCTTCACCAGAAAAAGCATGTTAAAAATAAACCCACCGACAATGTATAAAAGACCTTTAGCCAGAGTTCCCCCCTCTGGGTCTTTGGAACAGAGTTGAAATGAGAGAAACTATGTACGTGAACAGTTTCTTCATTTCTTAGTAGTTGTTTTCTTGTAAGCCAGTAGTTGTCCACAAAAGACTGATTTTAACCCTTCCCCTACTTGGAGCATTTGTGCAATATAAAGAGACTTTTTTGTTGTTATTATTATTCCAACAGACAGGTGCCACTATAAACTGGCATCTATGGATAAAGGCGAAGGACGCTATCAAATATCCTACAATGTACCAAACAGACTGCCTTGCCTCCCAATAACTAAGAATGACTTGGCCTCTCTCAAGCAAAAGCCATATGGGCATTTGAATTTGAGAAGGAATTCAGGTAGAGTGTTTTCTGCCAGCCACTACAGTAACCACTAACCAGGTATGGCTGTTCAAATGTCAAGGAATCAACATGAAATAAACATTTAAATGCAATCTCTTGGTTGCAGCATCAACATTTCAAGTCCCCAGTGGGCTGGTAGCTTCTCTGGCCACTGATATCATGGTCAGCTAACATTTTCAACACCACAGAAGATTCTATTCAGAACTGGTTTAGATCCCAGTGATCGATAATTATCTCATGAGATGACTCTGAGAAACTAGCTTCATGATATTGAATTTGTGCCTTTTACAGCGGAATGTAGCATTTTGTACGTTTTGTGAATGTGTTGGAGCCTGTGACGTTTGGAGCACTTTCAGATCTCCAATGGGTCAGTGCCCCACCCACAGGACTCCTACCTCTGTGTGTTCAGTGGGTTACTGATAACATCACTGATAACTGTGAGCATATGTTGATCACTATCTACCTATCAAGTATGGTGCTGAACTCTATGTGAATTAGCAGACCTAATTCTCATCGGAGTCCTATGAGATAAGAACTGTTGTGTACCTAATTTTCTGTTGAGAAAACCAAGGCTTTTCCTTAAGAGTGTCTATCTCTCCTCTCTTCTCTCCCCCCCCCCCTCCCCGCTTTTTTTTAAGTTACAGGACTCCTACCTCCATTGTGCCTCAGGCAGAAGGATCAGTAGGTTGCTAACAGTATTACTGATACATTTGAGTGTTTATTAATGTCTTTCTACCTATCAAGTATGGTGCTGAAATCTTTACATGAACTATATCAGTTAATCAATCCTACCAGTCATATGAGATAAGAAGTACTATGTATATTATGTACCTTATTTTCTTTGTTATCCTCTTTTGTGTGTTTTTTTTTTGAGGCAGAGTCTCACTGTGTAGCCTAGACTAGTCTCAAACTTGTGACAGTTGTCCTGCCTCAGTCTTTCCAGGGCTGGGATGGCAGGTGTGAGCCACCATACCTGGCTGAGCTGCTTTGTAAAGATGTGTTATTTCCAATTTTGCACTTAAAGCAAGACTGCGTTGCTAATTTTATATTGCACTCTTTCAAATAGATAAGATTTATTATAGATTTGCATAAAATGTGCCTTTAAAATGTGTGTGTGTGCATGCGAGTGTGTGTGTGTGTGTGTGTGTGTGTGTGTGTGTGTGTGTGTGTGCTTACATTTCTGTGTAAACAGCTCCTGACAGCAGAAAGCAGGAGCTGGGACAGAGGTCAGTAAACATGAAGTGTACAGATGTAGGTGGATCTAGCCACAGTCACTTGGAAGGTTTGGTACATGCCACACGGACTCATTTATGAATTTTCTGTCCAATGGTTGTTTGGAGGCATATAAAGATGACATCAAGTATTGGAACAGAGACCCAACATCTCATGAAGCTGAAAATGCTTTCTCTGTGATCTTTGATGGAGAAAGCATTGGCTGGCCACCTCTGAATGGCGGATGAGCTGGAATGGATTAAGACTCCTACCTCCATTGTGCCTAGGGCAGAATGCTTAATAACATCACTGATAACTGAGCATCTGTTGATCATATTCTACTTGTCAAGTGTGGTGCTGAACTCTATGTGAATTAGCAGACCTAATTCTCATCGGAGTCCTATGAGATAAGAACTGTTGTGTACCTAATTTTCTGTTGAGAAAACCAAGGCTTTTCCTTAAGAGTGTCTATCTCTCCTCTCTTCTCTCCCCCCCCCCCCCCGCTTTTTTTTAAGTTACAGGACTCCTACCTCCATTGTGCCTCAGGCAGAAGGATCAGTAGGTTGCTAACAGTATTACTGATACATTTGAGTGTTTATTAATGTCTTTCTACCTATCAAGTATGGTGCTGAAACCTTTACATGAACTATATCAGTTAATCAATCCTACCAGTCATATGAGATAAGAAGTATTATGTATATTATGTACCTTATTTTCTTTGTTATCCTCTTTTGTGTGTTTTTTTTTTGAGGCAGAGTCTCACTGTGTAGCCTAGACTAGTCTCAAACTTGTGACAGTTGTCCTGCCTCAGTCTTTCCAGGGCTGGGATGGCAGGTGTGAGCCACCATACCTGGCTGAGCTGCTTTGTAAAGATGTGTTATTTCCAATTTTGCACTTAAAGCAAGACTGTGTTGCTAATTTTATATTGCACTCTTTCAAATAGATAAGATTTATTATAGATTTACATAAAATGTGCCTTAAATTTTTGTATATTGTGTGTGTGTATGCGTGTGTGTGTATGTGTGTGCGCGTGCGTGCATGAGAGCACACACTTGCATTTCTGTATAGATAGCTCCTGATAGCAGAAAGCAGGGGCTGAGAGAGAGATCAGTAAATCCAGGAGTGTACAGAACTTGGTGGATCCAGCCCCAGCCTGCTGGAAAAGGAGTTTTAGTACACATCACGTAGACTCATTTATGAATTGCCTATCCGATGGTTGCTTTGAGGCTTACAAGGACAGCATCAAGTTATTAGACCAGAGACCCAGCATCTCACGAGGCTGAAAAGACTCTATAGCCAATGGAAAGTTGGCTAGCCACCTCTGAATGGCTGGTGAACTGGAGTGAATTAGGGAGGAAGTAATTCAGAAAAAGCAAAGGCCGACTCTGTGGCAGCCTTGCTGGAACTCTTGTGCCACATCCTTCAGTGTTGAAAATATACAGTATTGCAATCCAATACAGACCACCTACGTGTGTTCGTCTGCATGGCCATGCGTCCCTGAATATTAGAAGACATGTTTTAGGAGCCGTGGAGATTGGTTCAGTGGTGAAAGCCCTTGCCACGAAAATGTGAAGACCCAAGTTCAGGTCCCCAGAATCCATGTAAATGCCAGAATGGGGGTGACAGCCCTCCTGTAATTCCAGGCTCAGAAGGTGGAGATGGAATCTCCAGAGCAAGCTAGCTAGAGAGACTAGCCACATGGGAGAGCTCTGGATTTGATTGTGAGAGTCTGCTTCAACCAACAAGGTGGAAGAGTGTTAGAGGACGGTTCCTGACATCAACTTTGGACCTCCACACATGTGCATGAAAATGGAAGAAGCAAAAATTAAATTGAGATGACAAGTTCCACCAATAGGAGTTACCAGCATTAAATCTAGGTCCTAACCTGCTGTCACTTAAAAGTGCCGGTGACAACACTCTCATCTGCTCTTGTTCAGGTCAAAGAACCTTGTCACCCACAGTTTGCAAAGCTCTGGCAGGTAACAGGGCAGCAAGTGATGTGACCATCCTCTACTGCCTCCTTTACCAGACCCTCAGCAATGCTGGAAGGACTTATCCGAAGACAGATAGATGGTGGCTGGTCCCAGGACACCCACCGAGCCTGTGATTTTCCGTGTGCTCCAGATGCCACCGATGGAGTGGGGAGTAAGGGTCTAGTGATGATTCCAGGCTCTGTGGATTGTCTTTATATCTTATTCGGAACACTTTCTTTCCACACTTTGCTCTAAGAGGATAAGAGTGGGCAGATATCTTATGGTGAGAGTAAGGAAGCCATAGATGAAGAAATCCCAGGACTCTGGTTGGAGCTATCTCTGGTGATGTGGCTGCCTAACTCTTGAGAGGCTCACAGGAGTGGGACTAAGATGTGTTTTGTCGGGGAGGTGACTACATGTGGCCAATTATTTGTACAGAGATTGTTTTATGACTGTGAGACATTTGCATGTGTATGAGATCGGCTATGTGAGGTAGCTTCCCCTAGAAAGAGAACAGGGAGACTTTATATTTACTGTGATCCTTTTGGTTGCAAACAAGAAGCTAACCGGCACAGAAAACCAAAGCAACGAAAGGCAACTGTGGACATGCATGCCTGGCACGGCTCCTTACATGAAGGGTTTGTGATGCTGTGAACCTTGATTGGAATCAAGAACTTGATACAGCCGAGACATCTCTTATCTCTGGGTATTTCTTTGCATGGCACTTCTCTAATAGACTGAAGCATTCTCCATGTTCGGGAGCAGTGGCTTCCAGTGTGGGATGCTTTTCAAGCTTAGAGGAAAGAGAGCTTCTCTCACCCAGAGGAAGATCCCAGCGAGGCTGCTGCAATTTTGGGAAGCGGTCTGAGGACTGATTGGTCCTTTCTTATCCTTGGGCAAATGCAATAAGAACTTAGCACTTCTGTAAATATTTTTGAAGATGTTCTCTACAGGGGGATGCCAGAAAAACAGGACCCATTTCTCTGCAGTAGCATGCATGGACAGTGACAGCAGTCAGGGGACAGCCTGATTGAAGCATGGTCAGCTATAACAATGACTCAAACATGCTCTATCTCGCTCTGTCCCAAAGCATGTTGATTTTTGTTTTGTTTTGTTTTTCATGATAAAAGTAGTATATTCACAGACTGGCAAGAAGACCAAGCCAGTAAAGGTGCTGATTACTAAGCCTGACAATGTGAGTTCAATCCCAGGGTCCCACACGATGGACTGAGAGAACAGACTCTGGTAGGCTGTCCTCCCAACTCCACAAGGGTACCCTGGGGTAGAACCCAAGCACATGCATATACACACAATAAATAAATGTAATAAAAATGTATTCTTTCATTTGTAATGCATCTATGGATATTGTTCAAAGTATAGTCAGAAGGTATATATGAAGGTTTATTCTGACATTTATATCAACAAAAATGTATACACAGCAAATATTCAACAATGAAATGTATGTTGTACATAGTTTTCTTTCTTTCTTTCTTTCTCTCTCTCTCTTTTCCTTTCTTTTATGAGACAGGGTGTCTCTGTAGTCCTGGCTGTCCTGGAATTTAAACCAGGTTGGCCTTGAACTCACAGAGATCAAGCAATCTCTGTCTCCTAAGTGGCCGGGATTAGTGCATGACTTCCATACCCATTTGTATATATATGTATTATAATGCATGTACAAGAAAAATAAAAATAGACTATTAGTCTTATTTTTGTGTTTGTTTTCTTGGACTATAAGCAATCTTTTAAATAATAGTTTTCATTTATGTCTTGAAAATTTCATACATGTGTACAATGTATTTTGATCATACCTACTCTATCTTCCAAATCCCCCCAACCTCCCCCACTCCATGCATACACAATACATCTCTCTCCCGACTAAATATCCTTTTTTTTTTTTTAACGCCAATGAGTCCAATTAGTGTTGCCCATATGCTCCTGGGTGTGGGGCCATTCACTGGGACACAGACATTCTTCTAGTGGCCACACTTCTAAAGGACAGTGACTCTACCTCCTCCAGTAGCCACCAACCGCCAATAGCTCCCATGCCTAATAATTGAACTGGTTTTCCCTTCTGCGGGTCATATATATACATACATACATATATATATGTATGTATGTATATATATGTATAACCACAGCTGCTGAGAGTTCTAACAGGCATACCATGTCCAAGGATAGCATTTCTCAGCACCCCTCCTCATGTTCTGGTGCTTACATTCTTTCCACTCCCCGTCTCCCACGCTCTTCCCTTAGCCTACAGGGGTCAGGTTGACACAGATGACCCATCTGTGGCTGAGCACCCACAGTGAGCAGTTACGAATCAACCACCACCCACCACAAAAAGGAGCGTCTGACCTAGTGGAGAGCTAGCTGTACAGGATCCGATGCAGGAGACCACATGGGCCAGCAGCCTGGCGGAAGCTTCTTAGGCTCAGGCATGTTTTACTCCCTTACGCTGTGGAAGTAGGGTGGGAAGGGCCATTCCTTGGGCTTCTCTGAGGCCCTTTCACCCACTTGCCCTCCTCCATCGTGACACTGGGATGTTTACTGAGCCTGGCCCCGCTACCAGCAGCAGAGTTACATAGAGCAAGTCACTTGCCTCGGCAAGGCCTTGGTTAGGGGTGTTCAGCTGGAATCTCCAGCTCACCCCTGATTGGCTCCAAACCCCGGCCCTGTCAGAAAAACCACCAAAAGTCCACTCCTCCCCCAAAGCCCCCAGCTGCTCAAGACCCCATTAAAAGCATACCATACTTGGGTACAAACCCAGCCTGGGGCAGTCACATCACCATCCCTCGACTACAGGGTATTTAAACCCTATCCGCCCTTCCCCCACCTCGATCTCCGTGGACCGGAGGGTCACCGGGAGTGCTTTCCCCAAATAAATCTGGCCTTTGACTTTTTAATTCGGCTTGATCTGGCTTACTGTGTCGGTGGGGAAACCTATTATGGGGCTACAGAGAACTGTGAATGGGCACAGTGCAAAGCTTTGGCCTGTGTTCAGGGATGGGGCAGTAACGGAGGCGTGTAACCGAGGAGCCACGCGGTGGAGCTGTCAGGGCCGGTTGAAACCAGCAATGCCTGGTAGAGGCCAGTAAGGCTGGACTGAAGCCCAGGAAGACCAACTCGGACAACAGTATCCACAGGCCACAGGACAGCCGAATCAGTCCTAGGGGTGTCTCTGGGTTGGGCGGGGGAGGGGGGGGGTCGTGGCACGTGGACATTCTAACAAAACAGATTAGTAGGAACCCCGGAAGTCGAGGCTGAACACTGTGTGAGAGAGGCTTTCCCCCAGCAGGCAGGCCAATGCCATATTTCCTTTTCCTGTTACTGTGATACAATACTTCCGGTAAAAGCCTCTTTTGGGAGGGCGGGTTCATTTGGCTCACAACTGCAGGTTACCGTCTATCATTTCGGGAAGTCTAAGTGCGGGAGCCTCAAACAGCAGCCAGTCCCATCCACCCACAGTCAAGAGCAGGGAGAAATGAATTAACCCACTCCAGTGCTCAACTTGCTTTCTCTTTTTCATTCAGTCCAGAGCCCGGCTTATAAAATCACGGTGCCCATATTGAGGGTGGGTCTTCTTCCCACCTCAGTTAAATCAGCTTAGAATCCTCTGGGACTGGAAAGATGGCTCAGCAGTGAAGGGTGCTTGATGCTCTTGCAGAGAAGATCAAAATTAGGTCCCCAACACCACATCAGGCAGCTCACAACATCCTGTGACTCCAGCTCCAGAAGATTCAACACCCGCCCTCTTCTATGCTGTACAGGCATGAGAACACACATACACACACACACACACACACACACACACACACACACACACACACACACACACTATTAAAAAAAAAACCCTCACGGACTTGACCACAGGCTGACCTAGTCTAGAGAATTCCTCATTAAGATTCCCTATCCAGCAGAGTTTGGGAAATCCTGCAGAAGAGGGGGAAAAAAGGATTGTAGGAGCCAGAGGGGTCAAGAACACAGCAAGAAAACTCACAGAATCAACTAACCTGGGTGTTAGTATCCTGTACATGTGCAGCGTCTTACATCATCAGCAGGTGCTGATGACTACGTTCCCGCTGCATACACAATCCCCACCTTAAAAAGCCAGATGCAGACCCCCCACACCCTCTCTCTTTCCTCTCTGCTCTCTGCTCTGCTCCATTCCACTCCCTCCTCCATCTTTCTCTCTCACCAGGCCTGGTCCCCTTCCCCACACCCATTTTTCCCTCCTAATAAAGCTCTAAAAACTAACATCGGGTTCTGCCATGGCCCATGACTTTTCCGTCGGTAACCAGCATCACCAACCAGCGCCGTTTTACTATTACTGGACTCACCGGGGCTCACAGAGATTGAACTGACAACCAGGGAGGCTGCAGGGGACTGACCTAGGCCCTCTGTGTATATGTTACAGCTGTGTGGCTTGGCCTTCTTGTGGGACTCCTAGCAGTGGAAACAGGGGCTGTCTTTGATTCTCTCACTGGCTTTTGGGACCCTACTCCCCATACTGGGTCACCTTGCCCAGGTTAATACATGGAGAGATGCTTAGTCTTACTGAAACTTGATACTCCATGTTTTGTTGATGCTCATGGGAGACCTGCCCTTTCCTGAATAGAAACAGAGGAGGAGTGGATTAGGAGGTGGGGACAGAGGTAGAGTGGAGGTGGGACTAGGAGGAGAGGAGGGAAGGGAAACTGCTGAAGGGATGTAAAACAAACAAACAAACAAATAAATGAATGAATGAATAAATAAATTTTTAAAAAAAGACTCCCTTCCAGGGGGAAAATTTCACAGGGTTCCACCTCCTAGACAAAAATCTACAGGCAAGAGCTGGAGAGATGGCTCCGTGGTTTAGACCATGTACTACTCTTCCACAGGGCCCCAAATCAGTTCCCAGCACTCACCTCAGGCATTCCCACCTATAGCTCCAATTCCAGAGGTTTATCACCCCACCTCTGGCCCCTGAGGGAACATACATAACTCGCCTCCCCCACAGACACATACACAATGTACAATTAAAAGCAAAACACACACACACACACACACATACACACACACACACACACACACACACACACACACACACACACACACAGAGGCAACTGTAGCTAGAGTTTTCCTGGCCCTGCTTGGCCCACGGTCAGGACAAATCTCTCTCACCCGCCAGTCCCACAGCTGCTCAGACCCAACCGAGTAAACACAGAGACTCATACCGCTTACAAACTGTATGGCTTGTGGCAGGCTTCTTGCTATCTAGTTCTTTTTATCTTAAATTAACCCATTCTATTAATCTATAAGTTACCACGTAGCTCGTGGCTTACCGATACCTTACATCTCGCTTTTTACGGTGGTGGTCTCTCTGACTCAGCCTTCCACTTCCCAGAATTCTCCTCTCTCCTTGTCCCGCCTATACTTCCTGCCTGGCTACTGGCCAATCACTGTTTTATTTATTAACCAATCAGAGCAACACATTTAACACAGAGACCATCCCACAGCAGGCAACAAATGGACAGCAGGAGAGGGATATTACCTTCTCCCAGGCATGAACCCCGGACTGATTATGTAATACACAATGCTCATCCCTGAAACCATACACACACACACACACACACACACACACAAAATAGACTCAGCAGGTTGTATATATTTGTGCATACTTATACACACTCACACATACACATGATTATGTATATATGTACCAATAATAATCAAAGAAAAAAGGCTATCAATTTGAGAGGAAGGGAGGGAATGGGGGGGCTGGACAGATGCAAGGGAAAGGGAAAGTGAAGTACTTCTATTTTAAATAAAAAAATGTATAAAATTTTAAAAAATATTTTTAATCTCTCATCAATGTGACAGAGATATTTTATCCCTGTCTCACCTCAAAGAAATAAACTTACGGCTGACAAATTTTAAAATGAAAGATTCATTTCCATATGATTCAATAATAGGTCAACAATCAAAACTCACCATCACAGCCAGTGACAAATCCCAGTGGATGTAAGAGGCCCCAGGAACCATGGTGGGAAATGTGACATGAAGTCTCCTGTAAGACTCAAAAGTCCAGGAAGCATACTAATAGGTCTAAAGGCTGTGTTAGTGACAAGTGGTGGTTTGAAAGATTGACTCCCATAGGCTCATAGATTTGAATGCTTGGTCATTAGCTACTTGATGGGGATTTGGAGGTGTGGCCTTCCTTGTTGGAGGAAGTGTGTCACTAGGGGCGGGCTTTGGGGTTTCAAATGCTCAAGTCAGGCCCAGTGTTTCTCTCTTCCTGCTGTCTTCAGGTCCTGATGTAGAACTCTCAAAAAAAGCAAATTGAGCTACTTCTCTATCACAATGTCTGCCTGCACACCACCATGCTTCCCATCATGATAACAATGGACTAAACCTCTGAACTATAAGCCACCCCAATTAAATGCTTTCCTTTATAAGAGTTGCCGTGATCATGGTTTCTCTTCACAGCAATAGAACACCCACTAAAACACCATGTGACCCCTTTTGTGAGTGTCTCCTATTGGGGACTAGGGGGATCCAGCCCCTCAATAGTCCACTCCCAGGGTCCGGTAAGAATCTACAACCAGCTGATAATTTAATCTTTGATGATTTGAAATGAATGTACATACACGAAACACTTTAGTCCATATGCTTTATTCTTCTGAGTCAGTGTTTTTCTCTGCACTGCTTCGGTTCTGCTCTCATGCCT